CAATAGAAATGTATATGGTAGGCTGACAGTATGAGAGCAGAAACCCAATGTCTATGAAGTGACCTTCACGTAAGACAAGGATTAACATGTTGATTTAGAAAGGAAAGTGTGTTGGGAGAAAATATTCACTCTACATGTACCTGACAAAGGACTTCTTACAGCACAATAATAAGAAGACAAATAGCCCAATTAAAAGTTGGTGAAAGGTCTGAACAGACACTCACAAAAGAAGATGCGTGAATGGTCAATAATTTCAAGCTCAGCCATCAGGGAAAGGCACATTCAAACCACAGTAAGGCACCAAGTCAGCTAAGATGAAAAAACTAACCGTACCAAACATTGGCAAGTAATGGTGTACCCAGGTCTGGGCAGTGCTAGAAGTCTGGCCAGGGCAGGGAATAAGGGGGTGCATGGTCTGTGGAGAATTTAAAAACAATAACAAAACCATTAAAGTCAATCTGCTTTTTATTATTACTATGCATCAGCAATTCTAAACAATGTCAGTGATAAGATATTCTTCCCAGCTAGGGCAGACTCCTCCCACAGCCCTGTCCCTTGATACCCTGCTCTTGGCCTACATATGGAACCACATTGAAAGTGGGGGTGTTGTGTGGTATGACCACCTTGGAGAACTGCTTGGCAGTTTCCTTTAAAATTAAAATAAATGTACTCTACTTATTTACCCAGGAGAAATGAAAACATATGAAGTGAATGTTTATAGCAACTTTCTTTATAATAACCCCCAAGTGGAAACAATCCAAACATGAATTAATAGGTGAATGGGTAAACAATACATGGTACATCCATACATTGCAATATGATTCAGAGACTGAAAAATACCCGATATGTACAAAAAAATAATGAATCTTGAAAACGTTATGCTGAGCAGAAGAAGCTAGACACAAAATAATATACATGTTTGACTCCATTTATTTGAAGACCAAAACAGACAAATGTAATATATAGTGACAGAAAGTAGAATAATGATTGCCTGGGACTGTGGGTATGGACTAGGAAGGGTAAAAAGAAACTTTCTGGTGTGTGGGTAATGTTCATTACCTTGATGTCTTGGCGGTTATGTGTGGACATATTTGCCAGACTCATCAAACCGTGGATCTAAAATATATGTAGTCTGCTGTAAAGTTGATATAAAACAAAAGTTTGAAACAAAGGGGAAAAAACCCTCAAGTCAGGACCAAATTATGTCCAGGCTTTTGGTGGTCAGTGAGACACCATCAGCATTCCAGAGACACCCCATCCACCATACTTGCACTGTTCAATCTGGATGTGTGTGCACGATACCCATCCTGAAAGCTGTGCATGATTTGGTCTATAGCTTTTATTTCTTCCCTCCAAAGTGTTTTTATGCTTCTCTCAAGTTCTCCTCTTTTAAATTCCAGCAGAGATAGGCAAAATCTGTTACTTGAATTATAATGAAAACAACAACAACGACAACAAACCAGCATATATTGACATATTCTGGGTGCTGGGTCAGACACTGCTAAATGATTTACCTGTATTAATTTATGTCATCTTCACAAAACCCTGACTGAGGTATTAACCCTATTTTTCAGAACAGGTCAGGCTGAGGTTTAGAGAGGCGAGGCTCTGGACACAGTCAGACCAAGACTGGCATCTAGTTCTGTTTGATAGTGACGGTTCTCATCACTGTGCTGAAGGGCCTCCACTAAGGACCCAGATGCCTGGCCACTGCCCTCACTATCTGGATTATGCAAATCAGAACTGCACCCTCCAGAAGGGTGCACTAAGCATGCCTTCCCCTAGGGACGTAGCTTCCTCAAACTGCCACTATCTTTAGGGCAGTTTTCCATTCCTAATGAGACTTCTTTAGCAAGTGCTTTCCTGCAGTCTCCATGGAACCTGGCAGATAGGCTCACACTGGCAAGAACTCTCATTAGCTTCATCTATGGACTGCGACCAACTGCAGAGTTGAATTGCCTTGTCCTCGTGGGCCTTGGGGAGTGGGGTTGGGAGGGTGGGAATATTCCTCCTTGACCTTCCACTCCTGCCTGGAGCTCTGCTTTCCCCTCTCTCCCCTCCCCTAGGAGTCTATGAAGTTTATTCTTTTGAACTGTGACAGTGACTGTATATATCTCTGGGTGTATTCTAACAGGAACCTGCGTTCCTTCCACTGCGGGGCTGCCTAAGGAAGTTATGCTGGGCTCAGGGGAATCCTGGAGGAATTTACTCAAGTCTGCTGGGCCTGCATCCCGACACTCAAGTGCCTAAGTGCGGCCAGGCCTGTTTGACAATCAAACCCAGGCATGAACAAAAGGGGAGGGAGGTGGAGCCCATGTGGACCCCAAACTGGGCCAGCCTCTTGTTAGAGGAGGCCTAGGAGAAGCCATGACAGTGAGGAGGGGCCCCCATCAGGGAGGGGGTGCATCTTTAGAAGAGAGGAGAAGATAATGGAATCCAATAGAGCTTCCGAAAACGTGTCATCTCACTGCTGCCGAAACCCTTTGAATGCGTTAAATCCTTAATCAGAGTAGCCTAAGACTGCAACGACTACATGGAGACATGTTAGTCCAGATAAATCCTTGCAGGTTTCAAAGATCTGAAGGGCCCCGGCACTTCCCTCTGCAGCGGCTGCCCTCTGCCCTCTCCTCCATGATGTCATTATTGAAGTTTCGCTCTCACCAGGCATGGTGTAAGTTGACATTGACAGTTGTAGCACTCTCACACCGACTCTGGAGGATTATTAGCTTTGAAGCTATTTGGCCTTGAGCGGTGAATTCTTTTTTGAGCTCACACTGGCTTATAATATCTGAGAAGGCTTGCTCCACTCCGGCCCCAGCTTGAATTAGGAGAAGAGGCTGCTTTCCAACTTGGAACTGATACCAGCAGGAACAGAACGGGGAATATTATCCATTTCTGATGGGCAACGAAGTTAGTGTTCTCGAATCCCCCCGAGGCCTTCACACCGAGTTTCCATTTTAGCATCAGAGCTGGAACTGCAGCCTGGCCTCGCCTCTGCCTGTAATCTCTGAGCAGCCTCGCAGCTGGACGCAGAGAGGGACTCGAGGAATACATGCTCCTCTGGCCTCTAATCTGTTTGTTATTAGGCTGTTGGAAACCCCTCAGTGGGGCTGGAAGCTGATGTCAGAAGAGTATAATTCAAGTGTATGCTTAAAAAAAAAAAATAGAAGAAAAGAAAAAAAGCTCCCTTCTGTGATAATTTGCATGTGGTGAATGCAAGTGTCTGGGGGGATTAATTAGCTGAACAAAGCTGGGGAAGGGGCTGCCAATGAATTGGCAAAAATAGTGACCCGAAAAGCTTCTGACCTGCTCTTAATTTCCTCTCAGGATTTAAGCAAATGTCTTGCAAAGCTTATTCCAAGGAAAAGAAAAGCCCTCCCCAAACTCTCTCCCCCACCAGCCTCCACCTATGGCTTTTCGTGAAGAGAGAAAATGTGTGTTCACCACACTTCACAAACTATGCCCCCACTCACAAAGGAGCTTGGCAATGGGGTGTTGTAATCTCAATTTCATTAGACCATCGACTGGGGTAAATGATGGGTCGACGAAGGAATTTTGGGAAGCTCATTGATGGAAGAATGAAGGCACTCCCAAGTTTTCAGGTTGCTGATTTAGGGAGAAGTTTTCTTGAGATTATCATTTATTTATCTACATGTTCACATTTGTTTCGCTGTTATCACTTATTTATCTGCCTGTGTGAAGGTCAATCTTCCCCAATACTATTTGTGTCCATAATTCATGGGCTGCATCTCTCCTGGATGCAACTGGTTTTCAGGACGTACCAAGCCTTGCAGCTTCAAGAAACCCAAATTAGACACCTTTAGATTAGAGCTGGCTTTTCGGATAGCTGGAATAAACTCAGCACCACTGCTGAACATCAAAGCCAAAGAAGTAAATGAGCCCAGGAGAAGATACTAACAGAGACGAAAGCACAGGGTTCCTGATGACAGGGGAACTGGGAAGATAGCCTGGAGGATGGGGCATACATACCAAACAAACCCAGACTCATTCTTTGCTATGGTGGTTCATTTGAAAAAATCCCTTTCATTTAATTTCTCTGATGCCCAAGAAAATAAACACTGCTTTTCCTCAACTCTAATGTACGTGCCTCACCATTTCTGAAATTTGGATCTCTTCCAAATGGCATGTTTATTAAGGTGGTATATTTATTAAGCTAGTATGCTTATTAAGTGTATCAGTGCCTACACCAAAATGTGATAGTAACACTATGGCATGTCTTAAAATTAGTGTGCTTATCACTAATATGGTAAGAAGGAAAGTATTCTAAAATCTTTTAAATTTTTAAGTTCTTTTAAAAATGTCTATGCAAATTGAAAAATTCCACTTCTGGGAATATATCCAAAGGAAATGAAAACACTTAAAAAGAAATCTGTACTCCTATGTTCATACCAGCATCACTTACAATTGCCAAGTCATAAATACAACCTAAGCATCCATTTGTGGATGAAGGGATAAAGAAGTTGTGGTATATGCAGAATATGGAATATTATTCAGTCATAAAAAATGAGAAAATCTTATCATTGCAACAACATGGATGCTTGAAGACATCATGTTAAATGAAACAGGTCAGGCAGAGAAAGAAAATACTGTATGATCTCACTAATATGTGGTATCCATAAAAAACAAACCAATCAAAGAGATTCTCCTTGTAGTAACCAGAAGCCGAGCAGGGGAAAGTGGGGACCAAAGGTGGGTGGTCAAAGTTTAAACTTCGAGTTGGAAGATAAGTAAGCATAATGCACAGCATAATGACTGTAGCTAGCACTGCTTTAGGGTATATAGGAAAGTTGTTAAGAGAGATCAGAGTTCCCATCATAAGGAGGACATTTTTTCCATTTTCCTCTTTTTGTATTCTACATGAGATGATGGTTATTAACCTGTTGTGGTAATCGTTGCACAATGTATCTAAATGAAACTATTATGCCGTATGCCTTAAATTTATATAGTGATGTATTCCAGTTTTTTCTCAATAAAACTAGGGGAAAAGTAGCGGATGATGCAATCAAAATAAAAAATGCCAGTGAGTTCTGCAATCATGTCTTCCACGGCAGAACTCTAGAGACAGTCTCCAGCTCGGGGAACACTCACACAGATGATTCACTGAGGTGAGATTGTAGAAACCAACTGTGCCCACTGATACCCAGATCATGAGAGAGAGGTGTGTGTGCTGACATTCCTATTATTAACTGGCCTAAGCAGTTGATGGGTGCTCACCTCATCAAGGTGTACTTATTTTGGCAAAATGATAAATTGCACTCATATTTTTTCTGTCCTAAGGCAAATTGGTGAACTTAAAAAAAAAAATCACAAAGTCTTTTAGGTCTGTTAATAATTTCCAAAGAAAAGAGCTTCAATGGTTGAACAAATAAACCATTTTTGATGACAATTTAAGAACTGGAGTAATATGTGTGCTTATGTGTGTGTGAACACAATAGTGCAATCAACTCCTAATTAATCCTATTCCCTTGAGGAGCACTGTGCTAGTTGATTCTGTGTTTCAGTGTGTGCACTGGATAGACACCTATGGTATTTTGTACAGAATAGTTTTATATATATATATATATATTACTATTATGTATACATACATATATATTGTACATACATACATATATTATATATTATGTATATATAATATTAGCTAATATTTGCTGTTAGAAGTTAGTTAATGACAGGTAACTAATCCAAAGGTGAGCCTAAGAAATTCCCAGGACTCACAGAGCAATTTATAACCATAATTTCAAAGACAGAATGTGATGCCTTAGGAGGAAGCAAGTTCCTGCTCACTGGAAGAGTTTGAGTAGCATATGTTAAAGGACCAACTGTGGGAATGTTTTGGTTGGAGCTCTCTGTTACAGGAATTGGATGTGGTGAATTTTTCAGTCTCTCCCAATCAGAGAATCTATGATTTTATGACAGATTATATACAATAAAATCTCAAATGGGACTGCCCTGAAAACAGGGTTCCATCTAATTATTTCACACAGTCCAGGGGACACATTGAGTATATGCGGAAGCAGGATGAGTTGAATTGAATGATTTCAGATACCCTTTCGGGCATAACGATGGGGGTTGGTGCATTTTACCAGTCAGGGTTCTTCAGAGAAACAGCACCAATAGGATAAGTATTTAAAGAGATTTCTCTCTCTTTCCCTCTCTTTATCTCCCTCTGACTCTCTCTCCTCTTTCTTCTCTCCCACCCACCTGGTGGGAAGTAAGTAGATATCCTACTAGGTAGGTATATATTAGAGAACACTCATAATGAGGAACTGGCTCACACCATTAGGAAGGCTGACAAGTCCTATGATCAGTCATGTGCACGCTGACAATCCTGGACAGCCAGTGCGCTCCCCTTCAGTCTGGCTTGGAAGTCCTGAGCACGAGGGGCGCACATGGTGTATATCCCAGTCTAAGGGCAGGAGATGATCCGTGTCTCAGCTGAAGCAGCAAGCAGGAAGGAGGGTAAATTTCTCCTTTCCCCACATTTCATTCAATTCCGACTCTCAACAGATTGGGAGAGGATCCTCCATATTGGGAAGGGTGATCTATTTTACTGAGTCCGTGAATTCAAATGCTAAACTGCCCTGGAAATACTCTCACAGGCACAACCAAAGCAATGTTTAATCCAAGCACCCTGTGGCCCAGGCAAGTTGACACATAAATTGACTGTCACATTAATGACCTCAGCCTGAGGTAATGAGGTGTGTGGAATGCATGGCTTCCTTGCTGATGAATTATTTTATTTGACCAACACTTCTCTCTCCTTTTTGCCATCTGTGCTCTTTTTTTTTTTAAAGATTGTTTATGCATACAAGAACTGGGGTGCAGGTCAGAGGTGTGGGGGGTGAGAGGATTTACCAGAGACAGAGTGGGGAGCAGAATAGGTGGATCTAATAAAATACACTGCTGAGGGGAGCAGCGGGCAAGACAGGAGAGGCCTGCTGTGCCCTGTGGGTAGCTCCCTGGCCAAGGATTGAACTCATGCTGCAGTGGCTGGTGATAGCTTGATAGAGCTATGTCTTAATCCCTGCGCCACCAGGGAGGCCCATCATCTGTGCTCTTTGAATCTGTATTTTGGGGGGCACTCCTCTTGGGACTTAGAGTCACAGTTATTTCACTTGCCAGTCCTTTGGCATTGAGTTGCCCTGAATAGAATTGTTAGCCACCTAGATCACACTGTCATATGATCCTGAGGAAAGTTCTCCCATGTTCCAGCAAACACCAGTGTACCCCAGGACTGGCTTCTTATTCCACCTCCTCTCTTATGCTTCTTCACAGGCAGGTAGCCCCTGTTCCACACTCTCATGTGACTGGCTTGGCTCTTTCCACCTGACAGACTTCACCTAAACAGTTCATTTTCAGTAAAAATGAACTTGACACATTGATTAGAGTTTGGTAGCACACTAGTGAAATGTGAATGGAATATTGGTGAACCATTATTCTCAATATTCCTGTGCTGTTGAACACTGATGTTCAGTAATAAAAAAAGACCAGGTGACGCTTTCATCACAGGGCTCATAACAGCCAACCTTTTTTAGATGAAACTTTCTGATTCTCTGTGTGTTTTGTAAGAAGTCAGTCTTTTCTGAGTTCTAGGCATGATTTTCAGAGACTTTGCTGAAGACCCCTGAGGATTAGCGGATGCAGAGGACAGAAGTTTCTCAGCAAGTCCCTAGATAAAGCAGTCTGTGACAAGAAGAATAAATGCCTAATCATATAACAGCTAAGCACCGTGGGGATGGGCGACATGTACAGCCTTCTACCAAAACCCGATTCAGTTTTGCTCTTAACCTTTGATCTCAGGCATCTCTAAGAGGGTCCACAGTCTGTGCCTGGGCCACATAGATATGTGCATGCAATAAGCGATGCACCGCACAAGCAACGCCCTGCACCACGTAAACAATGCCCTGCACGGGTCCAGGGGTGGAGGAAGCAGCGGTGATATGGGTGAGCCCTCTTATCGGCTATTGCTAGCTCCCTCTCCTTTCAAATCTTAGTCTTTCTTTGCTGTGTAAACCTGAGTCTGTCTACTTTGCTTCAACATGTGATGAGTTCAATTGAGACTTTTTTAGGGAGGTAGGTTTTTGTGATTTTTCATTCCATATCTCCTCCTTCCTGGAAAGGTTGCCGTGCTCTCCTCCCCCACCCCAAGGAATGCTGACCCCCACTTTTATAGTGAGCAGAGCACAGTGGGGCTCAGCAAGTCTTTCCAGCAGCTTTTATTTTAATTCAAGTGGTGTGAGCATTGAGGACTTCTCCAGAGGATAGCTTGCAAACTTCAAATTGCCCTTGCCTTTTTGGGACATTAAAGAAAGTTTCTTGTGCCCCTAGGCTTCCCGGAGGACACTTCCAAACACCAAATTTGCTTTGACTTGAAGGAAGATGACATGTGTACACTGGATAGAATGGTAAGGAGCGGCAAAGAATTAAGATGTAGCAGGGTGGCAAATTCACTCTCACTCCACTCAGATGTGAGTGATACTTGCAATATCAAATAGTTTCTGTACATCCTAAAGCTGGTCTGATCTTCCTCAGTCACCCCCTACTTGCCAATTAACAATAGATGAGTCTCTTCCAATTTAAATGTTCTTCTTCTAATTTAAGTATTTTATTTATAAGAAATTCAATTCCTGTCTAGGGCTACTGTGAGAATTATCCTTTAGACATCTTGCCACGGTATGTAACAACTCTTTCTCCAGCCCAAGGCAGTTTCAGGGTGATTAAAGTGGCTTGCAGATTATTTAGGGGGAAAGGAAAAAGGGGGCCATTACCTTGCATTGTGCTGGGCAGTGGCCATTCACAGACTTCTTGAGGTTTGTTGCCTCCCCCAAGAGGCCTCAGAGAAGTATAACTGGAAGTGAGTTCTTGGTCTCCTGATGATTTCAGCCTTCCCTCAGTCTACCTACCACACCCTACCTGCCCTCCACCCCCAATTCCAGGACTATCACCAGAGGGGAGCCCTCAGGAAGGAGCCCCCTGGCCTTCTCGGGCCAACTCCTTGGGCTGAAAGCAGCCAGCTCTCCGCTCCTCTGCAGCCCATCCTGATGGCATGGGGTAAATCTTTAGCATCTATTCCACCAGGTATGGCTCTTGATATACTAATGGGAGCTAAAGGAATTTAGAAAATCCCTTTCCTTCTCAACAATGCCTGGCTTTGAAGACTATTTTCTTGCTTAAGAGGTCAAGAAAGTCAGCTTTGAGGTTCAAACTGATCAATGGTTTCTTTGTTCTAGGCGGTATCCCTGGGGCCAGAAGCCTCGTGCCTCAGCCTTGGAGGTGGGAGACTGCAGGGAAGGTGATTTAAGAGGAAACCAAAAAGTTAGAAGTATAATATTTGCAAAATATTATTCCTGCTACAGAAATATGATTCTGAGATTTCAAGAAACACAACCACACTCTCCTCTTTTAGGAAATGTCCATTTATACAATTTTCCTGTTTGAAACATCCATAATTTTCGACTTCCTTCCTAAAACACTTTCCCCAGAGTCATATGTACTTTGAAAGACTGTCTTTGAAGGATTTTATTCCGCATTCTATTTTTCTGGTTAACAAACAACACTGAATCAGCAATAAGTATTGTCTTATGTCTTATTTCTATTTGCTCTTTCTCTACAACCTTAAGTTCTCCCTTTGAAGAACCCTTAAATCACAAGGGCAGTGTGCAGAATGAAATTATAATCTTTGTGCCTGTAAGGAAGTAGGATGGTTTGGTAGCAGCATGCTGGGTGGTTGCTGTGATAATTACTAAGAATGTCTGGCCAACTTGGTTTTCATTAGGGGAACAAACTCTAGTTCTGCTTTGCTTATTATTTCCATGTTAGTAATGACCATGACCCCAAAGAAAATGGACATGACACAGAGAGGAGTAAGTTTTCCTCATGCTTGTCAGAGCATGTCAATGTTCTCCCACGGGTTGTGATACAATTCTTCTAATGCAATTAAGCAGTGCCTTCTTTTTCCATGGAAATGCACTTACAAATGTCAGTCTGGCTTGCATTCACCAGCCTGGGAAGACTTTGTTATGGAACCTGAAACCTGACCTGGCTACATGTTGCGTAACAAAACCCCAAAGTTCACGTGAACTTTTCAACTGGTGAGTTTGACTGGGGGTTCATCATGGATTCACTTGGGTTTGGGGACAGGAGATTTTTGACTCAGTGGCAGTTAGAATGGTGGTTAGTACCTAGTGTCTTGTCAATCCCCCCAAAGCTTCTGCGCAGGAATTTCATCTTCATTCTTTGTCTGTAACAGAAACCCACTGCCTGCCACCAAAATGTGAATAAGATGCAGTTGCCACGAGAGGCCTCAAGAAGCAGCAGATCTCTGCTGATGAGCAGACCAACTGCTTTTGATAGGGGGACAGAATGTCGTGAGCAAACTCCATACAGGCTTTGTGGACTCTACCCCCACAACACTGGGAACTACAAATCCCATGATCACCAAACGGAAGGTTGTGAGGACCTGAGCGGAGATAAGCAACTAGGCTCTCGGATTGAGTATTTAACTGGCCATGTGGCCAGGGGTCGACCTCTTGGCCACAGGGCCTGCTAGATTTTTGCCAGGTCGGCGGGTCATTGGGATTCCAGGTCAGCAGAAATGGGTAGGACACATTTACGAACTTATCTCCCTCTTTTTCTCCCTGAGTTATTCATTTCCCCTTCCCCCTTCCCTTGTAAATAAACCTTTTATCAACCTTTTGTGTATGTCTGCAGTTTAGCATTAATAAGTCCCTTCAAGTGCCCGGGTGAGGACCCACAGTCAGGCAACCCCATTTTATATCAGGGTTTGCCCTGTAACACTTTCTCCTCCCATCACTGGGCAGCCAGATAGTCTGGCCCTTGATTAGGCGTGCATGTGTGATAAAACCATGCTTCCTTCTATGAGTATAGATATGACAACTACTCATCATGTGTGTTTAATTCTTATAGACGCCTGGTAGGAAGGTGGCACAATCCCCACACTACTGAGAAAATTAAGGCTTGATATTGAAGTCCAGGAGGGTGGCCAGACAAGTAGGTAGCAGAGATAGAATACAGCATAGCGATGGTCAACATAGTCCCTCTTATAATGTACATACAATGGTTATGAAATTGTGACCTGTGATGGGGATGAAACCCAGTGTTGCATGTAAAGCACCTGCTCTAGAACTTCCTTTCTAATAGGGCCAGTTCCTCTTGTGGAGCCAGTGCAAAATGAAAAGACAGGGTCCTTTGTTCAGAACACGAGAAATCTCAGCAAGTGTGCTAACATACAAAGCTTTTTCCTTTCCTCTGTGGTCTCTGTTATGGTGTGTTTTTATTTGTTATTTAATGTCATTCTATATAAAGAGAAGTTAAAATCTTAAATGACTAGCATTCCTCTTACCATCCTTCATGTTGTTAAATGCCAGCTTTAAATGTAAGCATGAGAGTATTTAAGTCACATGGAATCTCAAAGTGGCATAATTCCTGTTTCCAAGCTGGCACACGCATTTCATTGTTACAGACTAATGGAGACTTTGCTCGAAACTAACGCGACTGTTTTATTGCATGTCTTGATGTGCTCAACCAACATGCTCTACTTTGACTGGCAAGTGAGGAAGGACTGAAAGGAAGGGAATGGTGGATTGTGCTAGTTTTTTCCCCTTTGTGCCATCATTTTCAGTGTGAGTGGTTGGCTAATAAAGGGAAGTACAAGAGGAAGAAAGGATATGATCGAGTTCATTGATCATTTGTGTTTCTTAGAATAAATACCAGTGGGCCTCCCCTGGTGGCGCAGGTGGTTGAGTGCTGCACTGTGAAGGTGTCTGCAGCCTCTGCAGCATGGGATCCATCCCGGCCGGCCGGCGAGAATCCCACATGGCGAGGCAGACCTCTCCTGTCTCACCGGCTGCTCCCCTCAGCAGTATATTTCGTCAGTCTGCCTGTTCTGTTCCCCACTCTGTCTCTAGTGAATCCTCTCACCCTTCTGTGCATCTGGCCTGTACCCCTGCTTCTTGTATGCATAAATAAATAAATCTTTAAAAAAAAGAATAAATACTGTCACCCTCTTTCTGTACTAAAGTAAGTCCTGGTTCAAATGAAAACGATATTGCTCTCAGGGCTGTCAGCATCCCGTTTACTCAGCCGTAGACATAACATGCTTAGATGTAATGAGTACATGTAAGCATGTAATGCTTACATTACATGAGTACATGCTTGTACTCACTCTGAGTGAATTCACTTGTGGTCCATGATGGAGGGAAAAGGGAAGGAAAGGGGCAGGATGTCGGCACTGGTGCTTTGATGGAGAGTGAGCAAAGCATGTGCACACATGGAGGCAGAATTTATACTCCCCAAATGATGCCATTATATAAACGAGCAGCAAGTTGATAACATTTAAGGACTCTCTCCAATAGAAATATATTGCGAATCAAAACATAACCCCAGAAATGTTATTAATGATAAGAAGAAACAGGTGAAAATATTTTCAATGACATATTTTATTTAAATCCAAGCATTTAAAACATCTTTTCAAGAGACAGTCAATACAACAAGGCATTTTGCGTACAAAGTCTCTTGCATCTGGTGTGTAATTTACACCCACAGCCCATCTCAATTCAGACTAGCCATATTTCAAGTGCTCAGAACCCCAGTCGACATTTGCTTGCCAAATGCTGAGATGCAGAGTTGCATGCAAATGGTCTAGTAGGGAATATTCTGGCAGAGTTACCTGTAAGAGGAGAGGAGAGCTGGATTGGGCCGAGGGACGAGACAGCAATGTAGTTGCCCAAGACGCCACACCTCCGTGAACATTCTAGGATGCACTGGAGCTGGAATGTCCTTTCAGAGATGTTCCAAATTGAGGTGAGAAGGAAGGACTTTTTACCTGTCTTGAGTCTGGATATGAGTAAACCTGGGGTGGGGTGTGGCTTTGGACAAGCCAGCTCCCTTTGGGCCAGCACAGTTCCTGTGGAGGGACTTGATTCTTGGTAGCTTGTAAACAGCTTTCAGCCCTGAAGGGGTTATCACAGAAACTACGATAGACTGTGATGTTTGAATCCACCTGCATCATATCACAAGTTCACTGTATCTACGAAACTACGTTGTCCTCTTTGCTGTGCCTGGCCTTTGGGGGCTGTTGCAGAAATCTTCATCCTTCTCCTCTACTGCCCTTTCTAGATCACCTTCATCTCTGGCCAGCACCTCTGCTGTGCTAGGTGCCTTAGCTGGTGGAATGATCTGAGAGGTCAGGGTCATAGCTTGACTGTGGCTGCTAGAATTGCCCATTTATCACTGATTTGGGGGAAGGTAGAGTACCAAGGGAAGTAATATGTCAAAGCTTTCAGCAATAGCCATCTGAGTCCATATACGTTTTCAAAACCACTCAGATGTCTGAGTGCATTCCCTTCTACTGACAGCTACCCCAGTTGACCACCGATGAAAGTGTTAACCGTTGCACTACCTCTAGACGCTTTAAAGATTAGGACTGTGTCCTGCAAGCCACTATATCCCAAGCACCTTACCCAGGCCCTGGTAAATGATGGTGCTGAGTGGCAGGTGAGGAGTTGCTTCCACTAACTGTTTATATGAGGCCATGGTGACATCGTGGTAAACGAAACTGAGATTATCTCTGTCCCCACAAAGTTTATAGTTTTGGGGTGGTTACAGGCCTTTATCTAATAATTCTGGACTGTGACCAGGAAGGCACATTTTTTAAAAAAGATTTATTTTATACAAGCACTGGGTACAGGTCAGAAGCGCGGGAGGGTGAGAGAATTCACCAGAGCCAGAGTGGGGAGCAGAACAGGCAGACGGAATGAAGACACTGCTGAGGGGAGCAGCGGGCGAGGCAGGAGAGGTCTGCTGGGCCATGTGGGTAGCTCCCTGGCTGGCGGGGAATCAAACCGGCGCTTCAGAGGTTGTGGACAGCTTCACAGCGCGGTACTCAACCACTGTGCCACCGGGGAGGCCCAGGAAGGCACAATTTAGGGAGCCCTGAGAATACATAGAAGTGCTGACCTTGTCCAGGAGTCAGGGCGGGTGTTCCTGGGGAGCGGGTTTTAGGACACTGAGATCTTGACAGAGTGGGGGAGCTCTTCAACATAAACCCTTCCAGTTCTTATGCTTTGTGAAAACTGCTCAGTCCTAAAGCTTGTATAGAGAAATGCACATTTCATCTTAAATTCCAAACTAGAATAGCTTAGCAGAGAGTGTCAGGGCATTCTTGACTCTCCAGGCTCTGCTGCTCTTTCCAGTAGCCTAGGTGTAAGTGTTTGAATTTGCAAATGTTTGGAGGCTCCAGCATTGCCTGCAGTGTCGGGGTGATGGGAGAAGCTCCTTTATAGCACCCCGGGTGTGAGAGTCAATTACTTCTACTTTCTATGAATCCCAGGTAGCCTGATGGGCAGTGGAACCAAAGTTTTTCTTAGCAGCATTCCAGTGACAGTGCCTGCAACTGTCTCAGGTGGTTTTAGTAGTTGCCAAAAGTCCTGCAGACTTATCCCATAGGTAAGTGAATATAAAGAAGACAGCTTTTCCATCATTTCTTAAAACAAGAATCGAAAAGTCCCCTCTGCCCTTTTCCTTTGCTTTCCAGAGACAAG